TAAACTTCCAATACACCACCTAATTTAAATGTTTAACATTCTTCATACCTAAACTCCTCACGAGCTTCTTGAACAAATCATTTGTCACAACTTTCCTCAATAAATCTGCAAGTTGTTCTTTGCTTCGGCAGTATCCTAACTTCAGCTGGCTTGCACACATCAGTTCCCTCAAGTAATGAAAGCACTTCTCTATATGCTTTCTCCTCCTATGTGCTATGGGATTACTTGAAAAATTAATGGCTGAAATGTTATCAACCAAGAGCATAACAGCTTTTTCTACACTGCTGCCCAACACCTTCAACAGATTCACAAGCCACACAACCTTACATGCACACATCGATGCAACGATATACGCGGACTCACAAGAAGAGAGTACAACCAAAGGTTCCTTTTTAGAGCACCAAGAGATTTGAGCTCCGCCGAACATAAAGACATAACCATTCATATACTTTCGATCATCCTTATCTCTGCACCAATTGGAATCCGTGTAACCGAATAACTCACAATTTCTGCCCATATCAGCTGCGGGAAAGAAAATTTTATAGCCAATAGTTCCTTTGATGTATCTTAGGATCCTCTTAACTTCTACCAAATGAGAAAACCTTTGGTTTCTCCATGAATCTACTTGCAATACCGACACTAAACGCCAAATTTGGCCGCGTATTGAACAAGTAACATAATGATCCAATCAATCTCCTATATTGTGTTGGATCCACACCTTGCTCATCTTCACTTTTGGACAGCTGCAACCTTACTTCGGTCGGTGTTATGGAAAAATTACAATGCTCCATATCACACTTTTTCAAAATCTCAAGAGCATACTTTCTTTGATGCATAAGTAACCTCAATTTTGACTTATAGAACCCTATGCCAAGAATGTAAGTCATGATTCCAAGGTCACTCATTTCAAACTCTTCCATAAGCTCACTCTTGAACTTAGAAATATTCACTTTATTGCTTCTCGTAATCAATAAGTCGTCCACATATATGTAAAGTATAATCACTTCTTTGCTTGCATCCGTCTTCACATAAACACCATGTTCGGATACACACTTCTTGAAGCCAACCTCAACTAGAAAAACATCTATGTGTTTGTAATAAGCTCTAGGTTCTTGTTTCAAACCATAGAGTGTCTTATTCAATTTGTAGACTCTTCCCTCTCGATTCTTCACCACAAATCCATGGGGGATGCTCTACATAGACTTCCTCCTCAAGTGGACAATTCAAAAAATGCAGATTTTACATCCATTTGATACATTGACCAATTATTTCTATTCGCAATACCAACAACTAGCTGTATAGTTTCCAATCTATCCATCGGTGCAAAAACCTTATCATAGTTTATACCTTCTCTTTGCAAAAATCCCTTCGCTACTAGTCAAGTCCGATGCTTGACAATTTTGCCTTTTGGGTTTGCCTTCACTTTATAGACTTGTCTCACACTGATTTGTTTTTTCCATTCTGGTAAATCGACCAGCCCCGAAGTACTATTTTTCTCAATAGATTCCAGCTCCTCCTTCATCGCACACACCCACTTTGATTTTCTTAATGCCTCTTCCATGCTCACGGGCTCAGATTAGACCATAAGCACAAACTGAATAAGATCATCTTTATTGTTGATCTTATTATCATGGAATACTTCACAATCTCAGAGCCTTTGAGGTAGACCTCTACGCCTTGTTGGATGTCTACTGAATTTTCCGTTTTTAACTTTGACAGTTTGTTGAACTGTTTCTGCAGAATGCTAATTTTATGCATTTTCCTGTGAAACCGCTTTCTGCTTTGTGAATTTCAATTCCATCAACTTCAGGATGCAAAACATGTGGAGGAAACCGGTTACTCTCATCCAAGAAATCGGTTTCCAGTATTGTCATGGATTTTTTTTCTTGTTGTCAAATAGCCTCAACTCGTCCACGGCCGCATCTCGACTTATCACAATCTTCTTGCTACTCACATCAAATAACTTGTAGCCTCTGGTAGGATGATAACTAACTAGCAACACTATCTCTCTTTTGTCATCCAACTTCTTTCGAAGTTGTCCCAGAATATGTCGAAATATTATTGAACTAAAAACCTTCAAATGACTCAAACTTGGTTTATGACCATATCGTACCTCTTCTGGTGTCACTTTGTCCAGCTTCTTAGTAGGGCGCCTATTCAACAAATAGGCGGATGTAGATACGGCTTCACCCTATAGTTCCTTCAACAAGTTTTTTCCCTTGAACATACTACAAACCATATTCATTATCGAATGATTTCTTCTCTTGACAACACCATTTTGTTGAGGCGTATAATATGGTACAACCTCACACACTATACCCTCAACATCACAATAATTCCGAAAATCACTCAAGTCATACTCGCCTCCACCATCGGTTTTGAGAATTTCCAACTTGTAACCACTTTACCACTCCGCCATGGATTTAAAAAGTTTGAACACATTAAACACCTTATATTTCCTCTTTATTAGATAAATTCATAGCTTCCTACTAAAATCGTCAATAAAAGTGACAAAATACCTATTTCCATCATACGAGTCGACTTGCATTGGACCACAAACATTGGAGTACACCACCTCAAAATGATGTTTGGTCCTATGACCTACATCCTTGCTGAAACTATTCTTGTGTTTCTTGCCTTTAACACATTCTTCACAAATATCAACTGGAATATTGATCTTGGGCAGCCCGGTCAGCATATCATTCCCTTGTAACACATCAAGGTCTCGAAAATTGAGATGTCTAACTCGGTATTGCCACAACCACTCATCTTGACTTGCTGCTGTAGCAAGACACTTGTGCTCCATCACTTACAACTCTATCTTGAAAGTACTATTAGCAACCATGGGTGCTCTAAGGATTAATATTTCGTTTCGTTCCAAAACGCCCAAAATCTTGTTTTCAATGCGAATTATGTAATTCTTCTCAAGCAATTGACCAATGCTCAAGAGATTACATTTAATTTCAGGAATTTATAACACATCTTTGATCAAGGAGTGACTCCCATCCTTCTCCATGATCAAAACATCAACCACACCATCAGCCGCTAAAGTGGTGTCATCTGCGAATTTTACTTTATTCTTTGTGGTTTGATTGATTTTGACAAACCAATCGTTTCTACCCATCACATGCATTGAACAACCAGAATCCAAGTACCACTCATCATTGCCTTAGACTCCATCTCGAGCGGTCACCATTGCGTTTTGCTCCAAACGCGCTTCTGCAGAATTTTCTGCACTGCGGACGTTGCTACCCAGCTTCCAACATCCGCTACTACTGCTGTCCAGCAGCTTTTCCATGCCATAATTCTCCTCTGTGATCATGACCATAAGTGTATTATCATCATCCACCTCTTATCTTGCAACCTTAACTTCATCACCTTGATTTTCTTTCGATTTTGCATTACATTCCTTTGCAAAATGCCCAAGCTTTTGACAATTGAAACACTTTACACCACTCTTGTCAAACTTCTTGGTGTTGTTGCATTGACCACTACCTTTGGAGCTACTTTCACCTCTTTCTGCTATCGAAACCTTTGAATTCTGTGAATCTTTTCCACCAAAATTCTTGAAATTTGTCTTCCCTTTTTGAAAACCATTTTCTCTTTAATCTCTTGTTCTTCTCATTGAACTGTGCTTGCAACGTAATCTCCGTTTTGGCCTTGTCATTTCCTCTTTCATCCATTCTTTGTTCACAAGTCTCTAATGAGATTTAAAGCTCCTCCTTGCTCATGATAATAATATTCTTTGATTCTTCAATTGCAACCACTATGTTATCGAATCTTGACATTAAAAAACACAAGATTTTTGCTACCACATTCTGCACGGACATGATTTCACCGCAAGACTTCATTTGATTCACCAAACGCGTTATACATGTAATGTAATTATTGATTGACTCCTTCTCTTCCATCTGCACTAGCTCGAAATACCTCTTGTAAGTTTGTAACCTCATAACCTTCACTTTATCTGCCCCCTCATAAGCGTTCTTCAAGATCTCCTAAGCTTTCTTCGCCGACGTGCAATCACCAAACTTTTCAAAGTTTTCACTATCGACACAAGAATGTATCAAGAAGAGTGCCTTGTAGTCTTTCTTCTTATCTTCCTTGAATGTATCTAGTTGAACAACTATAGCCTCTACCCCAAGTGGTGTAACACCATCGTTCACTATTTCGAGGACATCTTGATAGCTAAACAAAACTTTCATTTGTTTGCACCACTTGTCACAGTTCTTGGAATCAAGAATTGGAAGCTTGGTAGGGATTTGATCATTGGAAACGATAGACATGTTTACAACAGATTAATAGATCAAAACCAAGGCTCTTGATGTCAAATGTTGGAACATACACAAAACTAAATTTGTGAATCAATGGTGAAAGTGGTTAATTGGAGAAGATGAAGTTTAGAGAGAATTTGGAAATTATGAGAGAGAGAGAGAGAGAGAGAGAAAGTAGTTGAGGAGAAATATAAAATTGGCATTAATCTCATACTAAAACATTATTATAAGAGGCTTTATATAGAGGATATAAAACATAACTTTTGGAACCAACACAATCCCACAAACAGCCTAAAAAACACAAAAATTGCGGCAGAAACCGGTTTTCTAAAACAGAGAAACCAGATTCCTCAATTGAAAACAAAACATGAAACTGAAAAACATGTGACAAAAACCGATTTTCTCAAACTGAAAAACTGATTTCTTCTTTAAAACTCAAAATTCTTCAACTTTCCATAAGTGTTTTTTATTAAAAAAAATTGTACGAAACAACCACAAAAGTTTCTAGAATGCGTTTAAATTAATCTAAACTTCCAATAGTAATGAGTGGTTATGGCTAGAGCGTTACTCATAATATTAAGCAATTGTTTCGCTTGAAAGACACTATGTTTTTTTTTATAAGAAAATATTATTCAAAAGGAGTGCAAGGATACTCAAAACCCATACAACAATTCACTTTTAAATACATGGAAGACAAGGGAGACACTATATTTACTTACAAAAACCTCATAGTCTGTGTGTTGAACTAGCCATAGTATGTTGAATAGCATATAAACTTCTCGTGGTAGCTGAGAAACCAATAGTAACAAATTCTAGAAGATAAAATCTGAGAACAACTATGGAAAATAAAGATTGGTTCACAGATGTAGATGATGTTAAATTATTGAAACCAATATTCATTTCATTATCACCCTCATGCTTAGGAGGCTTGCTCGTCAGCTTCTGCAGAAAAGAAAGAGCAACTTTTCTATATGAAGTGTCAGAGAAGTCAAACATAGCATGAAGCAAAAGCAATTGCCGACATGTAAAGCGATGGTTCGTTCCAAAAATGTTATTAGCTCTGACCAACTCTATGTAATCATCAACTGTAGCAGGAAGAATTTTTTTTAGAAGATCATTTTTATTTGATGCTTCTGCAGGATATACTTCTGCTTCGGTACCTGCTGAGAAACCACTATCATCTTGATAGTCAAGATCAAATTCTCCAAATTTAATAAAAAATTTCAATGCTTCATTACCTACTGCCTTAGATACAAAAATCAAAGGGGAAATGTGAATGTATTGCCCGGTTTGGGTATCTTCCCGATTTTAATTACACTCCACACTACTTGTTTAAAACCATGTGACCAGTTGTACAACTCAGTAAGTGAACTTACCGATTGACGTGCAATATTGGCTAATCCAAAATCAGCACCAACCTTTGTACAAACTCCATTGCAAAAAAATTTGCATACACCAGCCAAGATCATCGTTTTACCGTCAATTGTTGGCATGATGCCACCTGCTTCATATAGATCGTTCATCGATGAATTTTCTAGGGAACAATAATCTTAAGAAACATAATAATCTCCTTTTTCTATGATGATCACTTTATGACCTGATTTTGCAAGAATTGCAGCTGCAACTCCTCCACTGCAACCAGAATTCACATACACATTAATGAGATCAGATTGTATATAAGAGTCAAAAGCTAAAAGCACAAAAACAACCAAAACCAAAGTTTCCCTATTATTATTCTTGTTCATAATGATTGAAAATGGAGGAAACTCAAGGGACTGGAGGGATGTATTATCTTTTCTCACTTTCAAGAAAGCCTTGGCACCATTAAGTGTTGGATCATATTTCCCGTTTGAGAGTGGTAACTTCTTCATCCAAAAATGATCACCTAACCTGAAAATAGCCACAGAACACATGCAATCTCCCATACAAGCTTCTCTACATTATTCTTCATTAAAAAGCCTTTGAAGCCTAAAATCTGATAAAGGAAAATCAGTGTTAATCAAAACCTCAAAGTAATAGAGATCCTTTATTTTACGCATTTCATCTTCTTCACATCCTTGTATAAAATCTGGCTTGCAGCTACCATATGGATCATCAGGATTAACCAGTGAGTAACTTGTTGGACACTGACACGTTGTCTCTTATCCTGTCCCAAAGTGCAGAAGCTATTGTATCCACAAACACCACTACCAGAATTAACAGTATAAGCACATATAATATCTGGTTTAGACCATACTATGGTCCAACCTTCACTCTCAGTTGAATTCCTTGGATGCTTGAAAAGCGTGAACATTCCATCAAAATTAAGATTTGCACTAAGATAAAAATCTGTGGTAAAGACTTTATTCTTTTCTTCTGAAAAATTGTATTTCTCATTATTCTCTCCCAAGACATACAAGTACCCTGATCTGTCGAAGACCAATTGAGTTCCAGCACTTGATGTATTGGACCCAACAGTTTGACTTTCATAGTAGTTTTCATTAACATAACCAGATGGTAAGTTAATAGAATGCATAACAAGATTACCATCACTTTGTAAAAGGAGATCAAACCTTCCTTTATTGAAATATGTCTCCTTAAGCCTTGAAGAAAGCTCTCCACCTTTTTCAACTACCTGAGAAGGCAACAAGGTGTCACTAGTAAACTTGAAATTTTCCCAAAGACTATTGAAATCGCCATCCTCAAACATGAAGTTGCCAGTGTCGTGGAAAACACCAAGAGAAACTCCATTTTTGTGTCCCTCTGTATTCCACAACCTGTCAAGTATCTTATGGACACTTTCACTTGCAGATGCTTGCAGCAAATACTTTTGAGATCTTAGCAAGACATCACAGAGAAATAAATGAGGTGAGTTAGTTCAAGTGGCGGCAACAAAATTGGTACCGTGATTGAATCAGGTGGCTCTGGAAATGGAGACGGTCGTGGTTGAATCAATCTCCCAAGCATTGGTGTCTTAGGCTCAAGGAGGGTATCTTTGTCTTCGGATTCTCTAGCAAAATCGAGGGAGAAGACAGCTTGAGTGGTTGAATGAACGGATTCGACTTGAGGTGTGTCGAGAGAGATTTCGTTACGGAAAATGGAGTATTGGTCGTGGTTGTCATAATATAGACCTGAAGATTCTTCTATGATCTTCGAAACAGTTTTGACATCACCATTATCTTCTGAGAGTAGATCAACAACCTCTGAGGAATTAGGGTTAAATTTTGTAGACAAAATAGAGTCCCAATTAAAGACATGTTCATCAAGTTCCTCATTGTAGGGATCCTCTAACAGAGGTAACACTTCTCTGTATTCAGGCTTAAATCTCCATAGAAAAGCTACCAGAAAGTCTTCCCAACTTGCTCGTGAGTGATAATTGTGCCACCAATGCCACCAAGTGAGTGCACGGCCTTAAATATGTTGTGACTGCTTCTCCAAGCTTTTGCAGTACCTAAAGCTATGTCAAATCTCTTACTCCAATTCAACCCATTAGACCTTAAATGTTCTGCTAAAGAACCATTTTCCATGAACTCATACACAAGCATTCTGTGTTTTCCTTCTGCGCAATAACCCCACAGTTCAATCAAGTTCATATGGTTAAGGCTTCCAATGCTACTTACTTCCGCGAGAAACTGTTCTTCGCCTTGATTAGCTTCCGCTAATTTCTTCATTGCTATGACTCGTTCATCCAACAGGACACCTTTGTATACAACTCCTCCTACACCTCTTCCAATCTCTTGATTAAAATTTTTTGTTGCTTTTTTCAATTCAGAATAACTGAATTTTCTAAAACCAATTATGGAAATATTATTATACACTCTTGCATCTAAATTATTTTTTGATCTTACAAAGAAAAACCACAACAAAAATATGCACAAGATTTCTACTCCTCCCATTCCCCCTACAAACCAAAGCAGGAACTTAATATACCTTCCTTCGCGAACTTCGTTGAATGATCTTTGAAGAGTTGTCGTTTTCGGATTCACGTTACAAGCTAGTTTGTTTTTATCATTCATTGTCTCCTTGTAAGTGTATGAATTGTTTGCCGATAGTTTTAAGTACAAATCAGCCTTGAAATACGATATTCGGTAAGCATTTCGCAGCTGAAACTTTGGGTAACATGAATTAGTATCAGGTATACCATTACCGGATATGACATATGTGTTAAAAGTGGAAGCAAATACTTTTATAATTTATTATTAAATAGAATATAATCTTCTTTATATAGACTCAAGGACTTCTACTATTCTAGGAAAGTAAATGATATTAGTAAATACTATTATAACCCACTATCTTTTGGCCTTCCAATTACAATATACTTTTAACCTTCCCACTAACTTATTAATAGAAATCCATCATTTATAACATTAAAGTTTATTCAACAAAACTCCTCTGTAAATTTAAATGTTTCTTCTATCCATCATGTCTATCAATTTCTTGCCTCTGTCGAAAATTTCTTTCGATAATGGTTTTTTGAAAATATATGATTGTTGTACCCCAAAATTTGCCCTCTCATTTCATCAATATTTTCTCATCACAAGACTCTCGGAGCTCAAGATCAAGTTAGGGTTTGCTCTGCTCAAGGCCCCTCCTTGCACTGTTGACCCAGATTAGGGTTTGAGTTTGCACAGGGATGTTTTGACCTAAAATGCCCAAAGTGACTTTCATGCTTCATGTTGGACTTACAAGTTTATCCATACCAAGTTTCAAGCCTTGATTCCAATCTTTGCCCAGTCAATTGGACAGTTGACCTAGAAATCAGCTGTATTAGGGGAAAAGTCAACTGTGACCAATTGACAGTCAAACTTCATGATTTTTGACCCACATCAACATATTGAGCTCACATGAACCATTTGGTCAAGTTTGGATCATAATTCCACAAGAAATTTGATCAGATCACCAAAAGGGCAAAATGGTCATTTTTAGGGTTTTGACTGCACAAAGGCAATTTTTGACTGTTTGACCTAACCAATGGCAAATCAAGCTCACATGTGGACTCAAGGACTCAATGGCATTGTCTTGAATCATTCAACAAGTTCAAAAGATCTCAAATGCATAGGATTGACAGATGAATTTTTCAGTCAACTGATCAAAATTTGACTGTATACTGAAAAGTCAAACTTTGACTTTTTGGTCAAAATCAAGTGCCAAGATTCATTTTTCATCAAGACATGTCAAATTATGAAACTTGTTCATCAAGAAACCCAAAATTGCAAATTAGGGTTTAAAATGAGAAAATTTCATAACTTAGAATTTTTCTAAGTTATGAAACTTCCTTATTTTTTTTCCTAACTTTGTCCCATTTTTTCACCAAGATGCAAATGGATTCAAACAAAACTTGAAACATGAAAGTTGTAGTCCATTGTAAAATCTACAACTTTGATTCACAAAGTTTTCTCAAAGGAAGCTTGTATCTCAAGTTATGAATTTTGGAACAAGGGTGCAAAACATTTTTAACTTAGAGAAATTTTGACCTATTCTAGGCAGGATTTTTGTCCAACTTCTTGGTCATTTTTCACATGGTTCCACTTGGAGTTTCAATTTTCATTACAAAGATGGATTGTAGTACACATTCCAAGCTTTCCAAATTGTCCAAGAACTTCTCAAACATCCTTGTGGTTAGAGAGAATCGAATTTGCAAAGTTGGCCAAAATTCACTTTTGTTCTTGACCAAAGCATGTTCATAACATTGGCATTTTTCAAATCAGCTGGTTTATGCTATCTTGCAGGCCTCTAAACCTCTTTACACTCAACAATTAAATGCCTAACCATTGTGTTAAGGTGTTATTTCATCCCTTTGGGCATTTCACATAAAACTAATCCCTAACTAGAAAAATCAAAGTTCTTATTTTTGGCTTAATGTCACTTTATGTCAAAAGTGAATCCTTGAGGCATGGGGCCAGATCTTTGAGGCCAGATAGAGTCCACAAATTTGTGTTACCAAGAGCAAGATATGCAGCATACATAGAGGGTGGTACAGGCCTGCATGGTAACTTACACTACCCTTGCTTACATTTGAAGAAACCTTGCAAAAACTCTCCATCATTCATTCCTGTCAACACAACCAAGAACAAACTTTGTTCTCATCTTCCATACATCAAAACTGACCTAAGGCACGACCCTTCCATCCCTCATACCTCCTCAAACACCAAATCACAGTTTTGCTGTAAAACAGGGTACCTGCTGCAGATTGAGTTCCACAATCCATTCCACTCGTGCACTTTGGCCAAAAACCTTTCAAACACATTCCATACCATCCATTGAAACTATTCCAAGCCCTAAATACCAGCTGTAACACCCCTAACCTCATCTGCCATTTTCATTTTTCAGTTTTGCAGGTGGACTTCCAAAGCACGATCCAGAGGGATTCAAAGCAAGCTAGGTGTTGGAGAAGCTTCCTTGGACTTCAGGCAAGCTCAACCAAAGCTCAAACTCCATTGAAGATACCTACATTGCTCTGTTCAAGTCAAGCTGAAACAGGTAAAACCATGAACTTCTATCTCTCAATCTAGGAAGAGTTAGGCTTAGGTTTGTGAATGAAACATGCTCTACTCATAGCCCTGAAGCCATACATATGATTACTTTTCATTTATATTAAGTATGCTGTGAGAATTTTAGCCATGAACATTGAAGAAAAATTAGGTCAGAAATTGGGGATGAAGAAATTCTCCCTGATTTCTTAGAGTTAGGTCAAGTATTTTATATGTCTGAATTCGTCTCTTGATGCTTTACAATGTTGGTGTTATGAGTTTTTGCTAAAAGTCAAGGAATCAGGAGTTAGCTTTGGTACAAGAGGCGCGCGTGTTTTGTCATTCAAACAAGGCTGAAGGTTGAAGATGACTGGCTTGGGCTGGGCCTGAGTCAGTCTTGCTCTTTGCACTCCCTTTTTCAATTTACACCCCCCTGGCCCATTGTGTGAAATATTTATCATTTTTGACTTTTTATTTTTTATTCTGACTTGATATTTTTTGTCCAAACATAAAAAACATTAAAAATATTTTTCACATTTTTTTATATTTATTTGGCATTTGTTTCATTTTATTAGTATATATATGTAAATAATATAAAACTTTTTATTTAAAACCCTAAAAATAATACAAAAATATTTTTTTTTCAGTTATTATTTTTTGTTTACATTTTGAAAACATTTTCTAAAATATACATTTTTTGTAAATAATTAATATTTTATTTTTGTACATATTTAGTATATTTAATATATAATATATAAATACTTGTACATTTTATTAAATATTTAGGACAAAAATATAGAAATAATATACTTTTATTTTTATTTGATATTTGACATCAAAAAATACTTTTTTACAATATACTTCCTTTTTTACTATTTTTTTGTATATAATTAACAAATATTGTATATAATTAATAAATAGATACTATTTATTCAAAAAACTAGGGTTTTGCCCTAAATGACAAAAATATTCAAAATTTGACCTTTTTATTTTTGTTTATATTTCACATTGAAAAACACTTTCACATACATAAAAAATCATTTTTTTGCATAATACATTTTGCATATTTATTGTATTTATTTAAATATTGTACAATTAAATATTTGTATATTCGATATGGATGTAATAGCTTAGAATTTAATTTCTTGTCAAATATCCCTCAAATTCAAACTTGTACCCCCATCCCCATAATCATTGTTGTAATAGCTTAGCATTTAAATTTCCGTATTTAAAAGCTTTCAATTATGCCATGTTTAGACTTAGGGTTTGTATGCAAAAACAATCAACAAATAGCTTGACCTAAATTCAAGATAAACATGCATGAAAAACAAAACACAATGCACACTTGCACCCCTAGAGTTACTCCACTTGTTGCCTTCAAAAATAGGCCATGGTTACATGTTAAGTGTCTTTGGCAAAATAAAAACAAATCAAATGATCATAGTCCCTCGATGACGCTATCAAGTTGCCTAAAAATGATCAAGTCCCTTGAGAAAATTGCCAAAGATACTTGGCACTATTACCTCCATGGTCTAAACGATGACCCGCGCCCGTCCCGTTAACATCCTAACACAAGGTTGTTCACCAAATACAATGGTGAAACAACACTGTTAAAAAGTTTAAAACATAAGAAAAATCTTTGAGAAATTTAGGGTAGATAGCTCTTGGTTACTTGACCAATCTTGCAAAACAACCCTTGTCATTTTTCAAAACACACATCACAACACAACTTCAAAACAAACTTTCAAAAACATTGAAACATCTTTTCAAAAAGACACACACCTTTGTAAAATATTCAAACAAGAATTGTTACAATGGTTGCCTAGATAAGGCATCTTTTTCAAAACATTTTCAAAACCACACACACAAAGCACCATTTCAAACAATTGAAAAGCAAAGGCAAGTGATCTAAGAAAGTAACTAAGAGCCCATGGATAACCATGGATAGAAAGGGTGCTAATACCGTCCCTTTCTATAATCTACTCCCCGAACCCAAGAAAACATCTCAAAGGTTTTTCCTGTGCTTTTTAACCTTTCCTTAGGATAAAATAAAAAGTCGGTGGCGACTCTTGCTAAACCGAAACATTTGCGAACAAAAAACGCAAAACCCAAGTCAGTTCTCCCACCGTATCACAGAACTGGCGACCCTGCTGGGGAAAATACTTAAAAGTGGAGTAACCTTAGAGCCTAGATCACCCTTTTGCATGACTAATTGTTTGCTTTGATTGCTTTACATTTTGGTTCTCTTGTTTGGGCTTGAAATCCTACACCCGGATTTGGGAAACATTCATAGATAGTAATACGTTGTGGAAACTGTGCGGGGTATACCGACACGGTCGAAGCAATAGTTATATTAGTGCGACATATTTGTGAGTACCGGTAACCCTTGAGTTCAATCAAGGAGAGTACAGGGTCGTTGAGTGATGTCACTAAGCACTAATGACCTAGAACCTTACTTGACCATCTTGGCCTTTTAGTAGGGGTAGTGAGATGACCGGATTTGGTGCAGTCCGAAGTTGGTAGATACTCGATACTACACTCATTGA